GCAGCACCAAAATAAAGGGCCTGCTCATAACAATCAGTCAACGATTCCTGTAAAAACAATCTCATGAGCAGATTCTCGATTCAGGCCGCAGTGATAGACTAATGCATCGAAATCATAACAGTTAAGTTTGTATAACGGTCAACCAAGCCACAAACGGTAAACCTCTTGTCTTTTTTCAATACCAAATACACACAAGTCTATGAAGTTATTACTATTAAATGTTATCATATTTGCAATACGCGGGATTTCGTGAAAATAACATCAAGTAACACAATGTTGGTGATTGTAAAAGAAGCATTTCCGTGTAATTGAATTGGGGTGTAATTTTATTCATATCATGCATTTTAAAACTTTCGAAATTGGTTCAGAGGTAAGTCTATAATAATGGACGGTAGGAATTAAGCGTATGCAATTTCAATGATAACACTTCCCATAAATATGAGTTGTTTACTTGTTTCATCCATCAATTCTAGGTAATTTAGTCATCCATAAAATAATTTTTATAAACAAGTAAAATAAAGCCTTCGTCGTATTCTATGAAAATAGCCACAGAGAACAACTCTTATAAAAAAAATCAGGCTGAGATTTGCCTGAAAATTAAGGACACCATAACAAACAAGGCAAGCTGAAATTCAACAAAACACAAGAGATAGGCTAAATTTATATGAACAAGTAAGAAGCACCAGGTGTTCTGGAGCCAAGTGTTCTTATAAAAAAAGTGTATACACATATTTTCATAAGAATACTATAAACATTTTCCAGCCTCGATAATCTTAAGAAATGTTCGTTTTTAGCCTGAACAAATTTTCAAAGTATTATTTTTTCAAATCTGATTTGGTTTCAGGGTAACGTCGCTCATACCCGCATAGAAACCACGCTTTATGAAGAAAATTAGATATGCGAGTCATGCAATTCTTTGTCATCAACATCACAAAACAGGCAGCTAAAGAATGAAGGACAAAAATGGGAGCGGAGATTGAGCAATATTTTTATGATATTCTAAAAAATTGTATGATTCTGAACCCTAATATTCTTATAAACAATATTCTAACACAAGGAAAAGAATGTAGCCAGAAAGAACACAACCGAATCACCGAGTAGTACGACATTTAATTCTACTTGATTTGATATAAAAATAAAAATGTAATAGTATTATCATACTAACAAGTGGCGAAAATCAGTTAATTCAGATATGGCACGTGAAAAATATGACATTTAGTATAAAATTCTTATTATTTTGAACCGATACCGAACTGCAGGAAGTACAAGGAATGTTTTTTAACAGTATTTGCAATATATCCCTTACCAATCAATTACACAAACACAACTATATTGAGAGTGACGGTGTGTGTGGTTTTGGGCGTGGCCTGTACAGCAAAGCCCCCTTCCAACGTACGGCCTGTACAACAAAGGACACCCCCCTGTAGAGGTAGAGGCGGTAAAATGTACTTCAAACCCTTAAATGAATTACATTTCTTTTGGCTTTTAGAATGTTGGTCAGCCCACCCCTTAAATTTTCTGCCATGAGATTAAAACCTGTTATGAAAATCAGATAAATCAACTCTTTTGCAAGATGTAAACAGATCAGAAAAAATATCTAGCTCACAAATTTCAAATGTGGGTTACCTATTAGCTTACTACTGTATTTTTTAGCCTCTTTAATTCAGCATCTGCATATTTTTGTTAAAGGTGAAGTTTTTCAGAGGTCTCTTAATGCGCCCACTAGCTAATGTTCCATTACACCTAATTTTGATAAAGTAGTATCAAATTTTACTATTACCCTTTTCGTTCAAATTTATCGTAGAAATGTTTCTGGAGATTTAATTATTTTGTTATATCTTCTTGTTATATCTTAATTTGTAGCAAAGCTATAAAGGTCTTCCACTATAAAAAGAGGTTGAGAACTATCGAAAAGAGAGCAACGGTCCTAAACTCAAGGAATTTCCTTTTTCACGTTTTCTTAAATTGGTTTGTCGGCGATTCTCAATAATTCTTTAAAGATACTGAATTTTTTGACAAAATCAGTATTTTTGAAATCAGGATTTTCAAATTTAAAGAACAAACGGAAACAAAAATTTTCTTCTAAAAATAAAAGAATGCCAAAGTTTTTTGGAAATTTGGGAAGTGAAATTTTTGGAAAAAAACTTCTTTCCTTGAAGCAAGCTAAAATGCCCTAATTTAGGATCCTAACATCACTTGAGATGTTTTGAATAAATTCTAAGCTCATATTTCAAATAAACATAATAGTCATTTTTCAACAAAACTGACACATCGTGGACTTCAATATTAACATATTTTTGGCAAAGAGTGCAAAGAGCTTTCGGCTGTCAAATACATTTACTCTAGTATTTGGTTAAGCATAAAAAATGTAGGGCGCTCTTCAGAAGTAGGTAAGGGGTACTTGTCGACAAATATGAGAGATGCAAATATGAACTTAACCATTGTTTCCGAAAAATTGGTGGGTTTCTGTCCCAGTCCCCTGAATCTCCTGAATTACACATATAAGACTTCTGATTCTCCTGATTCTGTGCGCACATAGAAAACATCTAGACCAATTTTCACGTATGTTTGTCACTGGCATCCCGCCCCTTCACCAGAGACAAAGGTTCCCATCTTCGTAGCATCCAATCTAGTATCTATCGCATAACGAAAATGATTTACTTCATCTTCAAGTTTAATAGCTTTGTTGAATATTGAAAGGAGATACATTTAGACGTTCATCGCAACAGCTGTGTGTAGGAGTGTATGAAGTACTGATGAATGAAACTTCGCGGGCAACACAACTTTATTCGAAGCTAACAAAGCGTCTCAAGTGTATTCCGGTATGAATATGGCTGTCACTGGGACTCCCTCTCCTCTTCAGAGAACAAAGTTTCTGTAGCGTCCAATCTAGTAAGTATCGCATTAACTAAAATGATTCCTTTACCTTCATCTTCAAGTTTAATAGTTTTCTTGTATATTGAAAAGATATACATTGTATCATACTGCCTTGTCACAACCGATTCCTGTGTTTCAGCAACTCCGGACTCCGGATCCACTTATCAAACATACAACAAATGTCCTTAAATTTTGGTCTTTTAATGCGATCTTTGTGCCAGCAAGATAACATAAGATCGTGCACAACTTTAGGGCAGCTCTGCAAGAGATATTCAATCGTAAGCAGCTGCTTTTTAAGTATTCACTTGAGTAAAAAACAGCAATAGTTGCGTTAGTGAACTCAAAGACATTAAACAGAATGTCTTTGGTTATTTAAGATCTGGGGCCAATGTGAGTTTAGGTAAGGTGGGAGGGGCTAAGAAGAGAGGGAGTCTGGGAAGCAAGGAGAGAGTAAAGCGTTTCAAAGTTTACTTCGAAATATCTGTGTATTAGTATACCTTTAAAGTGCTGAAAATCAATAAGAACCTCCCCCCCCCCCCATATATTTTGGAGTACGAAAAAAGCAAATTTCTGCGAGAAGGCTCTTAAATCCCTAGGTTCTTACACGCGGGTTTTTATTCTACCGTGATCAAACAAGCTTGAGAGAATCAAACACTGCCGTAAGGTTAGGATACAGAAGACAGTAAACAGGCAAACGAGCTGTATCCAAAGGTAGTGTTGCATTCCCAAATATACCATTACCAGAATGGGAGAACTACTTAATATCTGTGATTTGGATAACAAATGAAAGTTCATTGCACATGATGAGAACATATGAAGAAAAAACAAAATTATTGGTACGGATGCATGTATTTTCAGCAATCTAGGGTATGGATGCATTATCAGCAAGTTAATTTATTTTTCCAATTAAAATATGTAGGCCATCAGTAGGCCATCAGTAGGCCATCAGTAGGCCATCAGTAGGCCATCAGTAGGCCATCAGTAGGCCATCAGTAGGCCATCAGTAGGCCATCAGTAGGCCATCAGTAGGCCATCAGTAGGCCATCAGTAGGCCATCAGTAGGCCATCAGTAGGCCATCAGTAGGCCATCAGTAGGCCATCAGTAGGCCATCAGTAGGCCATCAGTAGGCTCGCAGATTTTGCTTTTGTCGGAAATTTTTTTGATCGAAATGCTGTTGCATGGAAGTCTATGGATCAGGAAAAATCAACTGGATTTTACGTCGAAATTGTAGTACCCCGATATAGATTTTGAGGTTTAACGCAGATAAAGCTCACAAATATAAGCAACGACAAAAACAAGGAACAGACAATGTTTAAGCGAGGTGTAGCCTCGATATGAAAAGAACAAGGCATGGCATATTTGTCATATCTTGTGTAATTGATCAAAGAAAGGCTGTGAAAAGCTGTAGTAAAGATTTATGAAATCTGGAGACTTTTAAACGTAAAACATACCATTGGCAGAGGGAGTCTAAAGCCAGAAGCCAGACGTTCAAGCACCTAAAAAAAGAATTAAGGCTTAAATCGAAATTTCAGTTCAAAAAAGAATGCGCCAACAGTCGCATAATGAAATTAAATATTCTTCCTTCCTTTATTGTACACATATTCTTTGTTTTTAGGTGTTGTTTTTTAAAGTATAATGCTTAATTATAAGTTTTTTCCAACAGTTTGATTTACGTCTGTTTAATTGCTAAATCTTTCGTACTTGTCTTTTCCTTATTTGTATTCACAAAAGTTTAAAAAACCTCTTCTGTTTGATTCATCTTTAAAGAAAAACATAACATGATTGCCAAAATCTTTGAAAATTGTCAAAAAACAATATTCCCCCTACCATTAGAGAAAATGGATTTAAAAAGTTTAAAAGCTGAAGATCTTTGTGATCAAGTAAGGAAATAACGAAAGGACGCTAACTTCCATTATTCAGGTTTAGAATAGTGACTTAAAAGTCATCGCATTGCCCGATTTTTATTATTATCGTCACAAGCATTTTCCTAACGATGGAAATGCATAAAGTAAATTTCCCTTACGAATATACCTCATTATTGCCCCAGTTTCAATATGGCCTTTCTCCGTAACACATTACCTCCCAAAGCAGGATACCATAACTCCAAACATCCGAATCAATAGTGGATTTCTTTAATTGGACTGCTTCCGGTGCTGTCCATTTGACAGGGATCTTACCACCCTGTAAAAAATAATTAAGTTGAAGTATATCAAGAACGATCTCGTTTACAAGCTTCAGGGCCTGCGCCACCGATTCTAAAATGGGGAGCCAAAAAGGAGGATTTGATACCTATTTAATACCTATTAAATTTATTTTTGAAAGAACAGTGAGAATATAAGCTTTCCTTGAAAAGTCTCAACCATTTATTGGTTGCTTTGAAGGGAAAAGAGATTGTCAAAATTCGACGATTTTGGCAAGCCTGTAGCTTTACTTTTTGTCAAATTGGGGGATACAAACAAAGGTAATTTTTGGAAAACTAGCTTTTGTGAGTAAAATATATTGTGAAAAGCTGTTAGGTATTTATTAAACGAGAAGTTGTGCTGCTTTGAGCTGGAAAACTTCTGTGAATAATAAATGCTTCTAGCAAGTCTATAATCTACTTTTTTGTGAAAATCTAGACAGAAAAAAGAGGGAATAACATTAAAACATAAAAGAAAAAACTGCGTTCCATGACCAAGGTACAAAACTAAAACCTGGCAAATGTTTATATATGGGGAAATTCTGTCAAAAACTGATTATTTTTGAAAGCCTATACGTTTCTTTCTTGTGGAAATAGAGTCACTGAAACAGGAAAATTTTATTAGGAAAACAAGATCCAATAACAAGGCTGGATACATAGTTAAGTTCTGTTAAGACAATGGGTTTGATTTTTAGCTAAAAATCACTGGAAAAATTTACAACTTTGGAAAACCTGTGATTCTACTTTTTTCAAAATTGGGTCACTCAAAAAAGAGATATCTATTATGGAAAAAACTTTCTATGATAAAATTATTTTAATTACTATTTAAATACTATCTAATTACTTAAAAACTATTACAGATAAAAATTATTCTAAGAGTTTATTTAGATGAGAAAATTCTGATGGTTCCGAAAAAATGAAAATATCAAAACTTTGTTACTTATGGTTGTAATTCTAAGATATACTGTTTTAGCTTTAAACATATACATAAACATGTATAAGAACAGGAAAATAGATTGTTTAGAAGGCCTTTTATGTGAGAGTGTGTTTGTTAAGTGAGGCAACGAAGTTTGAAAAGTTTGACAAAAAGTCTATGAAATAGGATATCTAGACACCACTACATCAAGCACGCTTTAAGTAGCATCTCCGAGACCTAGGTATCGGTAACCTCGCGAACTTCAGATCTACCAGGTTTAGAAAACCCTTTCATTATTCTGCTTCTGCCAGACTGAATACAGCATGGGTTCAGATTTAATACGACACTTATTCACAAATAATGACTATTTTCTCTCGGACATTCAAGAAAGTATTCAGCGGGAATTCGTTATCATATAGTTAGTTATCTGCAATTATCATTATACACGGTTTAAAAAATGGTTTCGACTAGTAAAAGATATTCACAAGAAAGATTAAATTAGGAATATTTTAATAAACAAAATAGCTTCATGTCAAAAAGTAACGGATATAAAAACTCCTAAATTCATACCTAATGCACTTGGGCATTTATTCATCACTGTTTCAAAACCATCTAAGTTATACCAGAATGCAACTATGCACATATTAAGTGGCAAATGCTGAGGCTTCAAAATTAAAAGGTTCTACGCGAAAATGCTTTTGTAGGTTCTTTATAATAATAAGATGCAACTGATTTCTACATTTCGTTTTATCGATTCTTGAACAAGGCAACGCCAACATCTTTTACCTCTCATTTCATTAAAGATTTGGTGATTTTAAATATTTAGACGTTAAACCTAGAAGCCTTTTTTGCTAAGATCGATAACTGTTACTAATCGGTGACTAAAAATGAATCTACCTTACAGAAACTCTAATCTTAACTGCAATAAGAAAATTAATTTGAAAAATACACTGTACATACAGATCGCAAGAATTTTGATACTTCTTTTGGAAAGACAATTCAGCTATTAATGTGAGTTGTGCTACATCATTAAAACAGAATAAGTGACTGTTTATGTTGGCAGCAGGAGAGAGAGATGTTAATGTCTCTTGGCTACGATCGAGTGTTTTTATGCAGTGCGAAAGTTCAAAAACCGTATGTCTCTTGATACATACACACAGGACAAAAGGGCTGAACCTTGAAAATGAAGACCACACAATGAACAACTTCAACAAGAATACGTGTCTAATTAGTTGCAGAAAGTCTTTAACCAAGAAGGTGAGTTGTATCACAGCTTAAATAAGCAGATGACTCACTTATATTAAATGATAAAAACAGTCACATTTCACTGCATGACGCCGCAAGGTGACCTTGAATAAGGATTTCTACTCAATACAGGTCAGTACCTTCTTGTTAAAGGCATTGAGTCATGGCCAATAGGCCTTCTCTAAAGGGGTTCATTTGGTTTCGGCGTGATCGCTGCTGTTTCATGTGATGTTGGCATCCGTTGTTGACAAATTGCTATTGATGGAAACTGTTTTGTCAATCAGTGCGAGGTGAGTTCATGTGACCAGTTTAAGGTCAACCAATAGCATCGCAGTCATAAAAATCGTGACTCAGTGGATTTTGGCACTTTGGGTATACCCAATCAATTTTATCATGACTCAATGCCTTTAAATAAAACATTCAACCTATGCACAACAACTTATGGAAGAAAACCACAACAACAGCTTACAAGATAACTTGGAATGTCTTCTATGGTGCAGAATGCTCTACGTACGTTCTCCAAACAATTCAATACTTCTAATATAAAAACGTCACATCAAAAATGTCTTTCGTAGAAATGCATCTATACAATCAAGGGCAATACATAAACAAGTCGAACTAAATAGTCCTTGAAAATTGGTCAAATACTTATTATGACATCATGACAAACTACTGTCATAGACATGAGAGTGATGTAATGAAGTTTTCGATGTAATTTCTAATAAAAGCAACTTGCCTAACAGCGCTTAGATTGCCATGGATTTTGTTCTAATCAACTGGCCTTTCGTCAAATTGATGTTCTTCATAATTTTGTTTCGGTGGCCAACAGCTTCAATTCCTATATCTTTCAGATCTGGATCCGTGAGTTCTAAGATCTGTCGGGGTGTGACTAGGCCCTTTTTAGTGAAGTTCTCGATG